AGGCACTTGCTCCATCTTCTGCTGCATTTTCCAAGCACATTTTCAGGGAGCTTTATCAGAAGCAAAGCAACCAGTACTCCAATGTGTGCTCTGATATGGTATGCCAGCTTTATGCTGTGCCACAACACCTGCCCCTGAAAACCAGGACTTTACATTGTTTACCTTGTTAAAATATTAAAATTTGAAGTTGATCAGAAGTCCTCTGAAATCATTTTAGAAAAATAATTCAAAGTCATTTATTCCCTTTTTTCTTCTATACAAACCCAGATTACTAAGTAATGAAACAGACAAAACAAGGCAGAAGATATTAGGGAAGAGGAGGGAGTTACAGAGTACCGAGACAGAATGCCAGTGACACCTCAGTGATGTTTTGTCTAGACATGTTTGTTCTACCTCTTTGCCTGCCTCACCTGTCTTGCCTGACCCAACATTCACTTGTGTCAACATCTTCAAAGTCTTCTCTGATTGTTTCTCAGCCAGACTGTCACTCTGAGCCATTAGCGAGTGCCCTTCTTGGCTTCCCCAGTTTTGCCTTTTCCAGGAAGTACTGGGTCATTTTTATACCAAGATGATTAACCCAGTGATTAAAAAAAGGAAGAAAAAGAAGAAGGAGGCTCTGTTACTTAAAAAAAAAGAAAGAAAGCAAATACCCAGGACTATAATGCAACAGAATTCATAGGGAAGGCCTACTCTGTGGCTTCAGGACAGGTAGGAGGGGGCTGATACAGCCTCCTAACAAATCTGAGACAGTTGTCTTTATAACATACAGTGGATGCTCTAGGCAAAGTCTGGATGAGGAGATTTTATGGGTAGCACAATAGTGTCCCTTAGATTATATTCCTGGATCAGGAGAACAAAGTATACTTCCTGCCAGATAATTTTAAAATATGAAATTGTTCTTCAGAGACATGTGAACAAAGAAAAAGTGCCCCTGCCACTGTTTTCCTCACTTTGATGTAAAAGGGCCCCAACATAAAGCAATGACCATTTCTTATCATGTTCTCTTCTCCCTTTAAAGAAAATCAGCAAAAACAACATTGGAGTTCATATTTATATCATTTCTGTTAAAATGCATAGTTTTTACTATTTACTTTTTTAAAAAAATCATGTGAATGCTGAAGCCTCTTGTCAAAGGTCATTTGTTACCTTTTTTATCATAGTACAAATCTGTAAAATACAAAAAAGAAGAAAAATACTATCACAGATAAAAACCACAAGGGCTCTAAGAATGTCACTATACTTTTATATTTTTATGTACTAATATTTAGTTTTATGATAAACAGACATTAAGAAATTTCATCATTTACTCAGCATTACTACTGTAGACTCATATATGGATTCAGAATTTGTGCATCATGTTCTATTTAAATACTAAGCAGGTTATTCCCTAATGTTCAATTCATTCATAGTTTATGCTAATGAATTTAAGTCGAAGAAGAGAGGAAAGCTAATCCTTGAGATATGACCTTAAAATGAGCAATTTAATGTTTATCCCATTGAGCAAGTGATAAACTGTGAAATAATGTTTTCAAAATCCAGGGTTTCTCCTCCAAGCCCTTCATTTACATACATAATCACAAGTGCACTTCACATGGGCCAAAGCCCTGACGCTGTCATGTGGGTCCAGGATACAGTATATATACCCGGCTGTGTTCTTAGAATCTAAACATCAATAGAAAAAGTCTGAAACAGGACAGGAATATTAATTTGTTTATATTAGATCTGGGTCATGTTCCGTGTTTTTTGTTTTGTTTTATTTTGTTTGCTTGCTGTGCATGAATCATATGCATGTGTGTGTGAGGAATTTCCGTCCTCTGCTGGCACTTCCTTCAGTATTTGTTGTGGCTAATTTGTGTCTCCAGAAGGTGTGTCATTGTCTGTCCTAGATTACGCAGGCCTGGGGAAGACGAAATTGCATTTCTTTTCTGTAAACTTCGAACTTTTTTCTTCCTCATGGAAGATTAATTTCAAAGGAAGCCCTAATCATCACTGAAGAGGAATCTTAGATATAGAAGCAACCCTATTATTTAATGTATTTCCAGATGAAGAACATTTTAGGAATATCCCCAAAGAGGAAAGGATCAATTGTAGGACAATTATTGTGAAGTGTAGGAACAGATAAGTTTTATGTAACAGTATTTGAATCCAATTTGTCTTTTTTGATAGAAAAAGGATGGGAGACTAATATCTTTTGCCTGCAGAACAAGCCAAGTTCTGGTACAGTATGTTTTTATATCAAATTTAGAGTTGAGGAAACCAAAGGCATGGGGAATTTATTAAATGCCTTGGCATTGCATCAATAAAACTATTGTTGTGGCTAAGTCAGAATTTGAGGCTGCAGAGTCCAGAGTCCATATGAGTTTCCTTCATGATGCCTTGGAACAAAAGGTGCAGCTGAAACTCCAGGAGTGGAAAAGAGACAAAGGTTAGTTACAAAGAGAATCTGGGAGTAAGATGGACCTGAAAAAATTGAGATCAAAGATCAAACATGGATTGTGAAAGCCATCACCTGTGACTCAAAGTGGTGTAAATAAAAGATGGAGATCAGTCAGTCGCTTTCAGAGCCACAAGCTTAAATTGTTAACACATTGGTTTGATGATTCCTTCATACATATTCACTAGGTTGCAGGAATATAAACAATTCTATGATTTATCCCGAGATAATAAAGGTCTAACAAACTACTTGTGGAAAAGAAAAACATTGATGTGAAATATCCAAATAAGTGAAAAGAGAGGGATTGTATTTTTTATTGGAAACTTATTCATTTGGATGAAATTTTTAATTAATAATTAGGAGTTCAGAACAGCATGAATAATGAAAAGATAGCATATTGGTTTTGTGTTCAGGCTCAGAAATGAGACTACTCCAAATTCAAATACTACTCTACCACTTAGTAGCTGTGTGGACATTGGTAAGGTGCTCTACCTACATCAGTGATCACTTGCTGTCTACAAAATGAGGATGCAAATAGCACAACCCTAGCTGGCCTTTCATTCTTTTCTCTCTTTTTTCTTCTCTCCTCTTTTTTTCTTTTCCTTTCCTTTCCTTTCCTTTCCTTTCCTTTCCTTTCCTTTCCTTTCCTTTCCTTTCCTTTCCTTTCCTTCCTCTTTCCTTTATTAAGTGAGATAATGCATATCAAGCACATCTTCTGGACAATAGTAAGCAAGACTTCCTGGTATGCTATCCCTTTAAAAGATTTTTTTAAAAAGTAATCTCCCAAGCATGATCCATGTATCAACTGCCACCGACCACATGATGGCAGCAAAAATATTTTCAGGGCCATTACTGAAAAGAGAGGTTTTTCTCCCCCAAATGATGAAACTGGAATGCGTAATGACTTTACCAGCCCAACACAACTACGTTGATAGTTCCCCATTGACTGATTTTCTAAGGCTCCCCAGTGCTGATCTGTTTCTTTCATCAACTAAATGAAGGAAGGTAGATAATTAGGATTCAGGATATATCCTTCCAGTTATAGAGCTAAATGCTTTACATTTTTATCACATTCAGTTCTATTAACTGTTTAAGATGTAGACACTAAACTTACACACACACACACACAAATTGTTTTCCCTTTGGTTACTTGCTTACCAACCACTGCTAGTTCATGTTAGATGTATAAGGATACAAGGCAACTTTGTTTAACTTAGGTCGCACTCATGAAATGGTGATGAAATAGCACCATGTTTCTGGTATTCCTGTAACCAAGGCTGATTTTAAAGTATATTTTGTGATTTTGGGGACTATGAATTAATATATTCTTACATACTACTGCATCCTATTATACTTAGCCATAAAAGAAGTAATGTTTGTTGAATTTTTATAAGGTATTTATATCAACTAGCTCTCATATATATTCTCCATAAACATTTGATTGAGTGATTTTTAGCGGATTACTTGTGTCATGCATCGTGATAAGCAGTGGAATCACAAGCTCCTGTACTAATAATATTTGCTAGTTAGGTGCTCACCTTTCTTTCAAAGATATTTTTATCTTTGCAAATGGACAAATGTCAGATTACTACAGTACAGTGGGTAGAGGTCCTGGGTATTAAACTGTATAGTGGCCCTGTTTCTTATGAGATGGCTCCTGTCCTAGACTCAGGAATAAGGAAACCCTCCTCAGACAACCTGAAGCACATTAAGAAATTAAAATGAAAAGGAAAAGGGGGATGGGAAAAGAGCAATGTTGAAGATATAGGATTTTCCACAGTGTTATATGTGAATATCTTGATGCCGTTATCTTGTGGCTATGATGTTATAAACAACTTTGATTGGAAATCAGAGAGTTTTTGGTGTTTCCTTTTAGTGACCTTTTGTTAGTGGTTATGGTGAAACCTGTGTTTACCTATGATAGTCAAATTATAATTCTCTGTTCATGCCTTGTACTTGTCTCTAAGGCACACTGGTTTATTGAGGTTAAGTTCTCCTTTAATCATCTTACTCTCCTTTTAAATTTATTTATGTGTGTTTGTTTATTTGAAAGACAGAGAGTGAGCAAGTGAGTGAAAACAAGTGCTTCCATCTGCTTAGTTTCATCTCCAAATGCCCAAAACAGTGGGGGCTGGGAAGGGATAAAACCAGAAGCCCAAAACTCCATCTGCGCTTCCCATGTGAATGGCACCTGCTGCATCCTTGGCTGTGCGTTAGCAGGAAATTGGATCAGAAACAGAAGTGGAATGGGATCCCAGGAACTAAGACATGAGATGCAGGCATCCAAAACAGTGGTTTAACTTGCTGCACCAAAATTCTTGCCCATAATCACCTTATTCTTAATGTTTAGCAGAATTCCAAGCTCATAAATGTCAGTCCAGAAGTGTCAAAGTGCATTAGGCAATTTGTGTTCATTGTATGGATCTTGTTCTTTTTAATGACAAATAATAAAAACTAGAGGTTTTGTTTATGGTTAGAGGATAAGCTTTGTTTAGAAAGAGGACACCATGACATTTGCTGTATTATCTATTGACTATAATCAATTTAAAATTATGACCAAAGATAATCCAGTTACATCAACTTTTTATTTAATTTCCGAAGCCTATTCATCAAGTCAATCTGCTCTATAAATGTTACCATAAAAATATATCTTAGCCCATTTATCACAAGTAGTATTTGTCCTTCAAGTTTGATAGCTTCAGAACACTTGGTATTTTTTCTACATCCCGTGGAGCATGTATGTCCTTATGAATTTGTTCCTAGTTCCAAAATGGGTAACACTTCTAGGAGTTTTGTGTCATTCATGCATATGCAGACTTCTTATGACTGAAATGAATTACTTAGTTGCTGTCTGTCCTCCTCAGACACCAGTATCAGGTGTGGAAATGAGCAAAGAACCCTTGCTGTAAAGAGAAAAGATAATGTTACCAGCATTACCACATATTTACACAACCTTTCGTAATAGACATTGTGAAAGGATTGATGATTCCATTTATCATCTCCATCCACTGTCATTAAACAGTCTTCCAGGAGACAATCTCAAAAGTATTAGAAATCCTTGGATTCTGAACAATTGCTTGAATTAATTATAATATCACCTCCATCTTATAACACATTGTTACTCTAAAGGACATCTGAGTATCAGCTTCTCCTAGGTTATCCAAGAGGAGTAAGAGCTGTAACCTATCTGGACTGAAAGAAGAAACTCCTGGGAAATTGAACCAAGCAAAATTAAGCAGTGCCCAGTGACTAATAACAGTTGGTTTGTCTTCTCTTTCTCCTTCTTTATAAGATATATTGATAATGCAGTTTATAAAATAAGAGAATACCAGTTCACTAACATTGCTATTATTTGACAGATTTAATAAAGTTCTGCTGATTATAAAGCATTTGGGGGAAAGTTAAAAAAAAAATGAGTGTCGGAGTCTCAAGTCTGAGCCTGGCCCCTGACCAGCACCAGCCAGTACAGACGCTCCCGAGCAAGGTGAATGGGAAGGGTAAGGTCGACAGGTGATGAACAAGCACCTGTGAGTGCTGTTGAAGCAGGAACCGCTTTATTGAGGAAGCGTACAGGCTTATAAAGCTTACGAAGGACATGCACAGTTGGGGAGCCGATCAGAGAAAAGATAATGCAGGCATGGGTGGACCATGCACAGGGGCACCTTAAGTAAAGTATAGGGATCATGCATTGTCCACGTGTCGGGAACTAAAGCGGACCTATCCCTGCTGGTGGTCTGATCTTATGTAGCTTAACCACAGCAGCTGTAGACACGCCCCTGGAACATCCCGCCAGGTGCCATATTGCAATGGAGATTTTAGGCAATGCCCAACAAATGAGACCTTCTGTTCTTTCAGTTTGGACCATCTCCAAAGCTCTTGAATTGCTGAGAATGATCATCCCAGGGAAACTGAAGCAACACAGTGCAGATTTCTAAACTCCTGGAACTAGGCTACTCCATATACATGAACAACTAACAGACATCCAGAGTGAGACTTCTGAACAGAAACTTATCTGAGTGATCAATTACTGTGCATACTGCCATGGGACTGTCCTTTTCTGTATCTTCTATTGTAAGCCTTATAAAGAACTTGAGAGGAGCAGAGACAGGGAGCTCTATGTGCTTGGAAACTCCCCCAGATGCTTGGCAATGGATGGTGCTGAGCTGGGGTTGAAGTCAAGAGGAGGACTTAGTCCAGGTCTGCCATGTGGGTGGTATTAACCCAACTACCTGATCATTCGCTGGATCCCAGGGTATGCATTAGCAGGAAATAAGAGTCTGGAGTCAGAGCCAGGCATGAAACCCAGGCACTTCATTATGGGTTGCAGACATCTTATCCAGTGTCTTAAACACTAAGCTAAATGACTTCACCATATAATAAGGATTTTAATGGCTATAAGTCTAAATGAGTGTAACTATAACTTCTGAGCTCACTTGGGCATAAAACTCTAGCCCCTTAACAAGGTGTGCAGGATCGCATTCACTGGGTCAAAGACAGGGGCCCCTTTACTGGAGAAAGAGCCTATGTTCATATTGTTAAACTGAAATATTTTATATGTGTTCCTTTTGATATCTCTGAAGTTATTGTGGCCATAGTTGTATACAGTTATCATCTTTTGAGCTCTTGAATTGGGACAGCAGCAGAAGAGATGAATCTCACTTCACTTCTCTGTGGACACTGTGCTGTGATTAACCTTGTGCTTAATTATGCCAATCAATGTGGAAATACTGATGAAAGAAATATTACTTAAAGGGTATTTGGTCACTTTACACATGTGTGCACATAAGTGGAGGTTTTATGCATGTGTCAGTTTTTAATTTTAATTTCCAGGAGAATCAGTTTAATACTCTATGGATAAGAAACTGTGGTAGTAAGATGAAAAGCATTGTAGTAGAAAAATGTACATTAGTGAGATAAAGATCAAGTCTGTAGACACTCAGGTAAAAGCCATACTTCCAAGTTGAAATGTGTAAGGGAATTTTTAAAACATTTTTTTCTTTTAAAATCCATTTACAAAGCAGCAAAATTTAGGGAAGTAAGAGATAGCATAGATAAGAGGCAGGAACTAATGAATTGTAGAGTATTCATTTGTTTGGATGATTTGGGAAATGGTCATAAGACATAGCTTGAACATTATGCTAATTTGGGGAGATCATGAAAACAGGGAGATCATGAGGAAAGTTTAAAAATTATAGAGACATTTTTTCTTGTTTTAGGGAGGTGTTAATTCATAACCATTAATGATTCTCTGAGGGTAATGACCAAGCAGTTTTGTCCACCGGGTAGAAGATACATGGTAATTTTCAAAGAGAAAATTACCCCTATTAATCTCTGAGAGAAAAGACAGGGTACAGATCTAGCCTAAACAGGCAGTGGTTTCATTACTTCATCAACACAATTGCCAAGGTTCATGAGTGTCTTTTAGTGACATACAAATATGGAAATTGAAAAGAAAGTTAGCTTTTAAAAAGAATGGAAGAAATGATATATAATGAGCTGCAAGAACCAAAAGCAGTGTGATGGGAAGAAAACTTCAGATCAAGATGCCAGAGGGTGAAGAAGGAAAGGATGAATCAGGAAGGGAAATGGGGGAGGGAAACAAACACCCCAGCATGATGCATGGTAACTGAGACTCACTCTTTGACTCTGTGTGGTAGTATCTGTAGATATGGGTGGAATTCTGTCTTTCTAAAAATTCCTGTGTTGAAACATTAACCCTCAGTCTCTCAGGATGTGACTTTATATGGAGACACAGTAATGAAAGAGGTGATTAACTTAAAATAAGTTCATAAAGGTGTGTTCTAATCCAAACTGACTGGCATCCTTAGAAGAAGAGGAAGTTTAGACACGCAAAGAAGTACAAGAGATGGTTGGGGGAGATTGCCAAGAACGTGGTCATCTGCAAGGCAAGGAGGAAGGCTGCAGGTGAAACCTGCAGTGCTGAAGCTTGGGTTTTGTACTCCAAGCTTCTGGATCTGAGAAGACATAACTGTCTATAGTTTTAAGCACCCAATCTGTGGGTTATGACTTCTCTAGCAAACTTATGTCTGTTCTTTGCAAAGTAATTGCATGTGAGAAGACCCAAGTCCAAATATGAAGTAAAATGATGACATAAAAGAAAGAGGAAGAAAGATGTATTGGTAGTTGCACATATCTACCATATCTACAAGTATACCAGAAATCTTTAAATTATACATGTAAATGGGAATTTATTATGATATATGAGTATACCTCAATAAATCTGCTTGGGAAAATATATAACAAAGACTAAAAATCTGATATTAATTTTGAAATTATGTATCAAAGAAAAATTTTAAATGTTACATTTAATGACAACAAATCAAGATTTAAAATATGGATTTATATAGCAATTTATTCTTGATTTTGAGGAGGAGAGTTTAACGAGCAAAGAGGAAAAATGTGATTTATGTCATGAAATCAATGCACAAGAGGTTTTTTTTTTTTCTTTTTCTGACAGGCAGAGTGGACAGTGAGAGAGAGAGAGAGAGAGAGAGAAAGGTCTTCCTTTGGCATTGGTTCACCCTCCAATGGCCGCCGCGGCCATGTGCGCTGCAGCCGGCGCACTGTGCTGATCCAATGGCAGGAGCCAGGTATTCATCCTGGTCTCGCATGGGGTGCAGGGCCCAAGGACTTGGGCCATCTTCCACTGCACTCCCTGGCCACAGCAGAGAGCTGGCCTGGAAGAGGGGCAACCAGGACAGAATCCGGCGCCCTGACCAGGACTAGAACCCAGTGTGCCGGCGCCGCAAGGCGGAGGATTAGCCTAGTGAGCCACCGCGCCAGCCAAGAGGTATTTGTAGGTATTTCTTTTTCATTCTTATGGGTACAGAAGCTCACATTCTTTTCATTTTCATTTTAATTACCACTAGAAGAATAATAGTGGATTCATACTTTCAATGTACCATTTGAAAAAGTTGTAAGGAAAATTCTAAATATGACCAGTTGAAATATACCCATTAAATAAATAGAATTTTAGAATATGGTTATTTGCCTCAGTGCAAGAGTTACACCTGTTGGGAAAGACTTAATTTCAACACCTGGGAACGTAGGAACTTAACAAGTCAGAAATAAAATTAAAATTGTAATTATAGTATGAAATTATTCAATGATACAAGAGCTGTAAATATAAGATTCAAAATGAAAATGTAAGTATATATTATCATAAAATTGCATACCTAAAAGATATTCCCTTAAGAAATATGTAGTAGATATCCTAGAAATGATAGAAACTGATAATCAGAGTCATAAATGAGACAATTATATATGTTCTGTAGTATTTGATCATCTAAATTTTGTTAGAATATGAAAAAATTAAATAATTATTTAAGTCTATTTTTATATATTAAGCCCATTATATAAATAGATAAAATATAGTATAAATATATGTGTGTGCAAAATGTGACTGCAGTACAAATATAAAGTACAGGTTTTTTTTTTTTTTTTTTTAAGATTTATCTATTTATTTGAAAGGTGGAGTTATAGAGGCAGAGGCAGAGAAAGAGAGGTCTTCCAACCATTTGTTCACTCCCTAGATGGCCTCAATGGTCAGAGCTGGGCTTATCCCAAGTCAGGAGCCAGGAGTGTCTTCCAGGTCTCTCACATGGGTTCAGAGGCCCAAGGTCTTGGGCCATCTTCAACTTCTTTCCCAGGCCATAACAGAGAACTGGATTGGAAGTGGAGCAGATGGGCCTCGAACTGGTACCTTTTTGGGATGCCAGCACTATAGGTGGCAGCCCCAAATTACAGACTTTTTTTTTATCATACCTAGAACATTTACCAAAAGTGAAAACAAATAAAGCTTCATTTTAAATTATATTAAAAATTTAATAAATTCTATGAAGTAGATATGATGTGGTTCACCTTGTTGTGTCAAAGTCTGATT